GGGGGGGGGGGGGGTCCCACTTCCCAGGGCGGAAGGCTCTGGTCAGCTTCCCTTCCCGAGCGCTGTGCCCCCCGGGCGGAAGGGGGCCGGCGGGAGGGGTCCAGGGCGCCTAGGGCTCAGGACAGGAAGGGTAGAGCAGCACCGCCCCGGGCACCTGCTTCCCAGGCCGGCCTACGGCTGGGGCAGGCTGCTGTGACCTAATGGGCGAGCAGAGGGTCAGCTCCAGCTGGGGCGGCCAGCGAGGCCACCACCACCCGCCGCCCCGGCGGCCCCACCTCTCTCAGCTGTGCCTGGCTGAGCAGCTGGAGCTGAGGGGCGGCTTCGCGGGGCCTCCCTGGGCGGGTGCGTCTCCACTTCACCCTCCGTCGGGAGACCCCTGGGCTCCCTGCTTCGCCGGCTCCTCCCTCTGCGGACGCTGGGCCTGGCTGCTGCAGCTCCCGTGGGACTGACCACCCAAGGCCCACTGTCCCCCGCCCCCAGACAGACATGCTCCCCAGGCTGTGCCCAAGGCCCGGGGATACCAGCTAGGGTCGCCAGGGACAACCGGGCCACCCAGCCACCTTCTGTGCAGCTCAAGTCGGCCAACTTCACACGCTCAGCATCCACGCTGGCCTCGGGGCCTCGCCCTTGGAAACGCCGAGGAGAGGGGTGCAGCTGTCTGAGGGCCGGGGCTGGGCGGGGTGCAGGCAGGCTGGCCCAGCTCCGTGGTGGGGACTTCCTGAGCGCCCTCTGAGGAACTGGAGTGTGACAGCCCCAGCCAGACCCCAGGCCTCCTCTCCAGAGGAAGCTGCAGGGTGTCAAGCTGGGTGAGGGTGCCAGGCTGGGTGTGGGTCCCAGACGGGCAGCACCCCGCTTTCCCCCACACCTGCTCCTGCCGGTGCCCCGCACAGCCCTCCAGCCCCGTCCTAAACGCTCCCCCTGGCGCCCACGGCGGCCCCGACCCCGGCCTGCGTCAGGCCCAGCCTCTCCTCCCTGCTTGGGCTGCCAGGTGGGAAGGGCTGACCACACCGCGGGCCAGGCCCACAAGGGGGCCCGGCCAGGTCTTGCCCCGACGCCCAGGCAGCGCGTGCTGGAACGCTGATCTGGACCAGGGCTCAGAGGCTGGCGGAAGCCGCGGCAGCAGTGTGTTCGCTCTTCTTGGGCCACAGCACAGGGCGGCTCAGGCTGGACCGGGCTTGGGCTGAGTGGCTAGTGCCCTGCCCATGGCCCGAGATACCAGCAAGGACCCAAGACAGGAGTGGGTGTCACCAGCCCCTCCTAGGTTGGTTGGGCGCCGGGTCTGTGGTGGGAGGAGGTCAGGCTTCAGGACAGTCTGCAGGGGAGGCTGAGGCCCCGCCCAGTAGAGTGCAGGGGACTTCGGTCACTGGGAGCTCGCCTGGGGTGCGACACCGCCTGCTGCTGGGCCCTGGAGGCAGAGGCGTGGAGGCTGCCCCAGACCAGGCCGAAGCACATTCACCAACGTGCAAAGCTCTCCCAAGCTGGCCAGAGCCAGCCCTCACTGTGCAGGCCCCTCCACAGGTGGGGCGGCCACAGGGCCTGCGGTGCACAGGGGCAGCTTGGAGACAGTAGTGTTATCTCTGCAAGAGCTGACCGGCCAGGGTTGCGAGCTGCCCTCCTGACAGCCCATGGCTCTGCCCACACCAGGAGCATGCAGGCCCGCGGCAGACCCCTTGGTCCCAGGTTCGGCTACTGAGCCAGCTCGGACGTGGGTCTGGGCTAGCAGCTGAGTACGAAGAAAGGGTCAAGCAGATGGCAGGTGAGAGACGCCACCCGTGGGCATCCACAGAGCCTTCTAAAGTGCCGACACTCATCAGGCAGCAGCAGTCCGGGGAGGGTGACCAAGCCCGCAGGTGCAGACCTTCCCTTTCTGGGGCACAGGGGGTCACGGGAGGGCAGGAGAGGCCCGCTGAGCTGGGCAGGGGCACGCCGGGCAAGGGGCTGGGGCCTGAGCCCCTTCTCTGTGTGCAGGTGACCAGAGGAACTGCTCAGGAACAGACCCAAAGGAACCACCCTGCCTGGTGCTGGACCAGCTGTGGGCTCTTCCTGGGAAGAAACAGGCAGAGGGAGCTGGTGGGCAGGAAGAGCAGAAGTTGAGGGGCTGTGGCTACAGCAACGCTGTCCTGCCGCCCACTGAGAGGGTGGCTAAAGCTGGTCCTGACTAGCGGGAGGCCTGGGAGCAAACACAGTGGCGTTTCCATGGAGACACAGCAGCGCAGGACCAGGTGGGGGCTGGGGATGGGAAGAGTGGCCAGTGCCTGGTGTGGATGGGGGAGCTAGAGGTGACCTGCCGTGGGGGGGCCCAACCACAGGACAGCTCACAGGGCAAAGAGGGCGTCCTCTGACTGCTCTGGCTTCTTCCGGCTGGAGGGATTTGAGGCCAGGGCCGGAGCCTCCGCTGGGGGAGAGGGGAGGTTGGGAACCATTTCGGCAGCTTTGGCCCTTTCTTCAAGGAATTTATCGAACTCTGCAACACAAAACAAGGCCGGCCGGGATTGGTAAGGGCTCAGCTGCATTAAGACTCCAACAGCCACGCCCACCCGCTCCCCACAGAGCACCCGCCCCCTTTCCTCCTCCGCCAC